TGGTATCTCTCCTCTCCAGCCACGACCTCGTCTCACTCCATACTCACTAGCCATCTCGTCTCTCCGTGACGGCCAGACCTTTCCCAAATTATTTAGTTTCAGCTGAACTGCAAGTCCACCCCGGTGGGTCAGCTGGTTAAGGTCACCTCCGAGGTTCCCCTACTTTCCTCAGTATTTGCCACTCCTGTTCCCGAGTCATCCCATCATGTTGTCTTTCTTCCTGGTCCCAAGCCCCATGGCGGTGCTACAGACATTTGTGAAACTGTGATGACTCAATGCACTAAAAGTTGATTCTCTAAGGCCCCCGTTGCCTTCAAATCCCATTCCTCATTTTGCATTGATTCTGTAGGAAATCCTGTTCAAAGTCTTCTCCATCCATCTCAAGGTCCTTAGACCTAAGCGCTCCCTGTCATGTAATAATAAAGACTCAGCCATTATCTCCCTCTCAAAATGCAGCATCTCCTTTCCGTTTTACATATTCTTTTAATTACTTGGGTTTGAAACCTCAAAATCTGCTTGGACTCTTTCCTGTTAACCCCCAGATCCAGTCATTCACAAAACCCGATGCTTTCATTCTGTGTCGTCTCCCTCTCATGGGTCCTTTCCTTCCCCACCAGCCTCCTCCCTCATGCCCTGTACTCCTTTGAGTCTCCCAACTAACTCCTCTACCAGCGTGCCTCATTTCAATCCAGCCTTCACACCACCAGCAGAGTCGTTTTCATATCCACCATTTCCTCAAATGATGCTCTTGTTAAAAATGTTACATCCGTTCCTATGGGCCAGAATAAAATCTAAAATTCTTAGCTTAGCATTCAAGACTTACCACATCTGCCCCTACCAGCCTTTCTAGTATTATCTTCATTAACTTCTTTATCAGAGCTACGACTCACTCCTGCAACACTGGGCCTACTCCGTCACCTGCTGTTCCCTCCAACTTGAACTTCTCCCCCCATGCTGACACTGCTCTGCTCAAATGAGGCTTCACTCCTCCAAGAATTCTTTCTTGATTACACCAGTTGGGAGTCCTTCTTCACTAATGAAGTTTTTCTCAAGTGATACCTAAAATAGACCTTCTTNGTTTATTTGGCCAGGGGTGGACCCAAGCTGGGCCAGTCTCACCTCTGGAGATTGGAAATTGAGATAGTCTCTCCATGAGGTAAGAACTATTTGCAACAGTAAAGCTGGGGGTAGCCACACTATATCTAATGTGGGCTAGAGAAACAGAAATGAGCGACATGAGCACTGATGGCACTGCAGTCCTGGGTGTCAGTCTCCTGTCTGCCCACAGGCTCAGAAACCTCCCCCTACCCTGTATCCTTAAAATAATCCTCCTTTCCCCTTTCTAACTTCTAGTCATTCGGGTTGCTTCCACTTACAAGGAAAGAATCCAAACTAATTCAACAGTGGTTCCCAAACTGTGTGCCAAGCCACCCTGGGGCGCTACACAGAGGTATTTTTGTTATTCTCATACTTGGATCAAGTTGTATTGTTTCCGATATTTCTTTCTATGTGCTGTATGCTCTATGTAGGTGAAGCATGTTTACTGACTATTAAAGAGATGAGGCAGGTTGAAGAGACCATCAGGAGACTGACGGGCAGTACTGGTGTCCAAGGCTCACATGGAGAGGAGAGGAGGCCAAGTCCTGTGGATCCGCAGGTGGATCCGGGCACGAGGGATGAGTGCTCCCACTCGAGTTTATTACACATTTTGGCAACGGAGTTCATCCTATGTCTGCCAGTTGGGCGGTGAGCAAATCCAACTGAGTGTTCACGTTTAAGGTTATTTAAAAAGCAAAACCTTAATCACGTTGAATTTCCAGTGCGAAGCGGATTCAAATTAAAGAGCTTAAAATAACAGGTGAATTATATGTTGACATGTTTTGTGAACATACTGGGAGAAAATAAATATGAAACTAAAGATCTAACATTTATAAATCAAAAGGTTAACTTGGCTAAAATTCACTTTATAAAGAACATGCCATGGCGGGGGGTGGGGGTGGGGGAAAGGTAGCTCAGCTTTATTTATGAAAATCAGGGACCGAACAATAAAGAGCCAAAAGTAAAAAAGACATTGTTAGTTACAATATGAGCTGAGTTTTATATTTCTTTATGAATTCAATTCCAAAAAGAGAAATGTCTGAAATCAGCAACGGGCAGGTCCTCAGTCCACTTTTAAATCTTTCCCCACCAGCATGGCGGTCACAGGATGCATACTGGCTCTGTGCTCCTGGTAGGTATGAATGGCTTGATCACGGGACTTGTCAAAGGCAGCAAGGTCCCTGCAAAAACGAAAAAAAAGAAAGAAGGGTAATGACTTCTTTTGGCGAATTTTATGATGCTTGTGAAGTAAACGAAAAGTAAACTGATTAATCATGGCTATTTATGTTATGGTTACATTTTTTTCAGAACTCCTGTCAAATCCATAGTTAAAATAATTTCACTGAAATAT